TTGCAACTTGGTAGGGTCGGCCTAGGCCCCTGGTCCTCTTGGTTCCCTGGTCCTCTGTGGTGCCTGATCTTCTGGTTGAGACCCTAAACCCTAAACCCCAAACCCCTAAACCCCAAGCCCCTAAACCCTAAATCCCAAACCCTAAACCCGAACCCCTAAACCCTAAACCCTAAACCCTGTAAAACCAACCAGGAACCCTGAATCTTCGATCCCTGGAGGCTCCTCCTCGTAGTCCTCCAGTGGCTCCATGGTTGCCAGGGGCTTGCGCGTGCAGGGGCACAACCAATCCGGATGCTCCTCAGTTTTAGGGTTTAGGGTTTAGGGTTTAGGGTTTAGCTTAGGGTTTAGGGTTTAGGGTAGCAGACAGAGGGTTCGAATGCTAGGGCCTAGAGTTTTGTGGGGTTGTTCATCAGATTTGTTTGTTGAGGGGGGGTGTCCTTTGTGGTTTGAAGGATTTTGAAGGCTTAGATCCCGCTGGTGGTGTATTTCGCAAAAAAGGCTTGAAGTCTGTGATGTGATCCTCGAGCTCATAACCCAAATAATATCCACCCAGCCCCGGCATCGGGCACTCACCTTGAACCCTAAACCCTAAACCCTAAACCGCTAAACCCTAAACCCCTAAACCCTAAACCCTAAACCTAAACCCTAAACCCTACAACTCTGAGCCCTAAGCCCTAACATCTAGACCCCTAGCCTCCAACTCCGAATTCCGCAGCGAGAAGTGCTTAGTGCCCTTCCGGGAGGGGTCGGGAACATGGAAGTTCTTAAATTAGGGTTTAGGGTTTAGGGTTAGGGTTGCCTTCGGTTCAGGGTTTGGGTTGGATTTAGGGGCCCTGAAGAATAAAGATCACACTATCTGGGTTAGACTAAGGTCCCCTAGCTTTCTGAAACTCCCCTTGTAAAACAGCTGATGTACATGTTTGTGTCAGGGTTGCAGGAAGGGGTCGAGGGCTTAGAATTTGGAATTTAGGGACACCCTAACCGCTAAACCCCTAAATCCTAAGCCCTACCTTGAACTACCATAACCTACTTTTTTGTACGTCCTCATCATAAACCCTAATATCGAATTTATAGGGACCCTACAAAAAAGTAGGTTTTGGTAGTTTAAGGCAACCATAACCACTAAGCAGAAGCGAGGATCATCCTCCAACATGGCCTGGAAGTTGTCCCAGTACCTGCGGAGGCACGCGATCCGTACTCGCACCGAAATCCAAAAGGCTATAGGGTTTAGGGTTTAGGGTTTAGGGAAACCCATGAACCCGAAACCCAAGACCCGAAACCCAAACCCTTAATCCCTGACGGGTTCTGAAACCTAAACCTTAAATCTTACACCCCAATTCCCTGAACCCCTACTTAAAGGATCATGGCACTTAGTAGTTAAGGTTATTCTTAGGGTAACTATACTTATAACTACTTATAACCCCAACTGAGGCACTTATAACCATACTTACTAAGTCCCATGATCCTCCAAGTAAATCTTACACCCTAAACCCTAAACCCGAAACCCTGAACCCTAAACCCTGAACCTTAAAATCTTACAAACCCTAAGCCCAAAACCGAAGCTCGAGATCCCCAAAAGGCGGCGCCTCTCTTGACCTCCGGCTTCGATTGGCGGGCGCGTGCGTGCGATTTGCCACTGGGCCTTCGCCTGAGTTCCACCGTAATGTTGGGAGGATTTTCGGGGGTTCGGGGCTTATAATTTTGGGCTTCATGATTTCGGGGTTTCCAACCCAAAACCCTAAACCCTAAACCAAAAACCTAAACCCTGAACCCTGAACCGTATTTCAGGGTGTAGAGCTTAGGGTTGTCGGGGTGTCGAGGTTGGGTTTAAGGTTTCGTGGAGACCGAACAGATTGGCTCCATCCGGGCTGTCCGGGTGCCAGGGCCCGGGCTCTTGCAAGGCACCGACAGACCCAATTGAGCCCAAGGATCACTTTTTGTTGGGGTGCAAGGGGTTTGGCTCTCCGGGGGGGTTGGGGTGTAGGAAGGGGTTGGGCTATGGAGCGCCTAGGCTAGAGCTTTGAGGTTAAGGTCTGTTGTAAGAGACTGGTTCTAGCAAGCGGTGCGGTCGGCGACAAACCTAAGCCCTAAACCCAAACCCAATCCGGAAACCGAAGACCTCAAACTTAGAGCCCCCTATGCCCTAAGGCCCCGAACCCCAAACCGGCCCAAACCCATGGCTCCGGAGACTTGAGCCTACTGCTTAGGGTTTAGGGTTTAGGTTTAGGGTTTATAGGGCTTAGGGTTTAGGTTTGAGCCTTAGGGTTTAGGTTTAAGGTTTAGGGTTTAGGGTTCAGGGCTTAGGGTTCAGGGGGTCTAGGGAGCGGCCCATGAAGAACTTACAGCTCAGTCGGAAAATCTTAGCACGCACCTTCGAAGTACGTGTTGGGTTAGGTAGGTAGTTCTTCGAACTCCTCAGCACGCTTCTGTTTCAGGGTGTAGGGTTTTTAGGGTTCAGGGTAAAATCTCTAGGAATCTCGGCTTCGGGCCTTGTGTAGGGCTTTGCTGTTAGCCTGGGGGTGTTCGCGGTGCTGTAATGTAACTAATTAGAATAGGACTTTGGGGCATAACATACTATATCTATAATAGAATAAGGAACCCACAAGCTGGTATAGGTAATTATTAAGGCCCCTGTGGCTATATAGGGCTTATAAAGGCCGCGACTGCACGAAACCCTTTGTACCTCCTTCGCAGGGCCCTACTATCCCAAATACTGACTGCACCTCTGATTCTGAAGTTCCATGTTAGCCTCGGGAAACATGCAGAATTTAACCAATGCCGGCCCGATGCATTAAAGGGAAAGACATTAAGAAAAGAGCTTCGTAAGAATCGAGAAGCTTGGTGTTGGAGACTCAGACGTTCTGCGTTTTCAAGCGTAGTTTCAACCAACTTTATATCCTGAACCTAGACCCTAAACCCTAAACCCTAAACCGTCAAACCCTACAACGACGATATCCGAAAAACATCTGCCCAAGCGGCCCGGCAGTGGAGGAGGAAGGGCTTTCGACCATCCTCCGGACGTGGTCGTGGAGCTATAGAGTTGAGGATTTACACTGTTTCGGGTTTAGGGTTTAGGGTTTAAGGCTTCTACGACTTAGGAGTTTGCAGGCCGAAGCGGAGTCTTAGACTTTTTCGGTTTGGGGTTTGGCGCTTCGGACGGCCTGGCTTCAGCCTCGAAAGGCTGAATGGGGCTTCACTTAGCCCCCTAAACCCTAGAACCTAAACCCCTAAACCCTAAACCCTAGAACCTAAACCCCTAAACCCTAAACCCTAGCACCTAAACCCCTAACCCCTAAACCCTAGAACCTAAACCCCCTAAACCCTAA